ATATATAACAAAAAAAACTGTGGGTCTGTACTAATGTACGTCAACTGCAGCCCACGCCACTCAACTCTTCAGCCTGAAAGGTGCGTCTGAATCATCATTCTAATCTTTACAAAGTATTTGTTGCACTGCAATGAAAGTAAATAACTTACTGAAAATGTTTGTATCCATCAATTTAAGCACTATTCAATTTGATAAATATTAAGTCTTGTATTATAAGTGTGTAAAACAAGTTGTATTTACAGGCGTTTTTATCATGATTACAGACATATTCCTCCGCGAGCAAAGACTTTGTCACTGCCATGAGGAAAAATTGCTGCTGAAGGCTGCAAGCGTGGCAAAAAGAAAGATAAAGCAGGAGAGACCAGGTTTTTGATTTGGTGCACTGATGAGTCACTGCAGTCGCCACACCAGTTAATCCGCACACAACCAAAACGGCTACAGTGAGAAGGGGGGATGAAATGTTACAACGGTGAAGATAAAGATGTTTTTTAAAATCGTACATGAAAATGCAAGCACAAATGTCAAGAGCTGCATAAAATGAGGTATGAGTCATGTTAACAGACCGTCAAGTAAAGTGATGTCTTAGATTAATTATAGGAATGGCTGTATCAGTTTTAGTATTGATATTGTAAATACCAAGATGGGTATTGTGTTGACACTAGCAGGATGAGGTTGATTGATTATTATTTTACATTTTATTTGCACTTCTGACTTTACTTTTCACAAATAAAGTGTAAAATGTCAGTCTTGCAGAATCTCCTTATTATTTGGCATTAGTCATTAGTTCTCTATATCATGCTTGTATGCTTTGAAAGTGAGTTTTTGTTGTTTCTGACATTGTTATATTTATATTTTGTTACCTTGTTGTATCTTTCTTGTCGTTTTGCAGTAGTAACCGTTTTCTTAATTGTGTGTCATGTAAGGTAATAGTGGAATTATTTCATTAATTTTATACAGTTAAGTTGTTTTATTTTGTTGCAGTTAGTTAATACAAACACTTTAATTAGCCTAAAATATTTTTAAATCATAATTATGATTTAAAATTATTTTAGGCAAATTAAAATGTTTGCATTAATTTGCCTAAAATATTTTAAAATCATAATTGAATAATTAAAGGCAAAATTCTGTACATATTCAAGAAACCTGACAAGTATTGAATTGACAATACTATCCTTGCATTTACTTGGTAACAGATCGATAGTGAAGCTTTTAGTACCGCCCACTCCTAATAAATTGTGTTTAATGTTAGAATTTATTTCAGTCCAATAAAAATGATGTAGATTAGGACATTTAAAAAAATCTAAATATAAAATAATCTGCTGATGATCATTTACTTTGCATTGTTTGTCTGATAAAGCTGCATTCAGTTTTATTGTCACTCCTGCTGATCAAGACTTAGCTCCTGGGACTCAAAAATGCCAGTCTCTCCCCCCAGAAAAGCAAAAGCAAAATAAAAGCCACGAAGCCACCATGTCGTGATCCTACCACCTGCAAGGAAACTCATCATGAGGCACTTTATAAGCTAGGTGACAGGAGAGTAAAAGGCTCTGGGTAAGTCAGTTCCACAAACTGCCACTAGATGTGAAATGACAAATATTTTAGAAAATTCACAACTTTCCTAAAATAATAAAATGCAGTTACAGTACACATGTTATCATCATCTTACTAAGTCAGTATATTTCGCTCCAATGTACTGTGTTAAAACTGGAAATCACGTTTTCTGATCAAAATACTGGAGTGCTTTTATGTAAAGTTCAAACTGAAGTGTATATCGATCCTATAAGAAAAGCCAGCTCTCTTTTCAACCCATAATCACTTCTGTCTTCATTGAGAAATCAATAGTCTCAAGGCTTCAGTGCACAAACTAATGGATGATGTCACCGGTAAGCTCCATATTTTTCATAAGTTGTAATACGACCAAATAGTTTTTAGCAGTGTGTATGCTAGCTTAAGTTATATACCTACTGCATGTAAAAATAATAAATTAACATTAATAATAATGAATTAAACATGTGGGTTTTGATACTGAGTCATGCAGGAGTGGAAGGAAGCAGTTTTACGCAATTAGACTGGCAACTTTTTTTTCTTAAAGGAAGGACATAAATTCTGTTTTTAGCCACAAACAAAGTAGGGAAGTGAGATTAGACTAGAAATACTTTAAACGCCTCCATAAAGAAGCATCATGTGTCAAGAGACGGAGCTGTTCTTCTATAATAGTTTTATTTATCTGTTTAAAATAACAAAACTTTGACAACTAAGTGCGGCTGAATGAAATTTGTTTTTAATGATCATTTAGCTAAATAATGAAAATAATAAAATAATAGATAACAAAAAAGAGCTACATAATGAGGAGCTTTGAATCACAAGACTTTTCCTGCACGAGTTTACTATTCATTACTCTCCACTGACCATAAACATGCATTAGATTGTCTGTTCCCTCTTTACTGACCAAATATTGAACTGTGCACGCCACTGGGTACCATTTTCATTCCACTTCATAAAAGAAAAATTTTTTGCCAACAAGGTTTATATGCAAATAAAGCAGCACAAACATTTCCTACTTTTGAGAAGCATGTCTGTCTCTGGACTCTATGCAGGTATGACTAGATTCAAATAGGAGATCCCTGTTAGATTTGTTCTGTAAATGTGCTCAAAAGAGTTCCTGACGCTGCGTGTTTGTTTAGTCTATACAAACATGCAGCATTAGGGAGTGACACGACAAAGAAAATTAGCTGAAACTACAACACTTGTTTAGATTTAATGCTGACCAATAAACTCTGCTTCACTTTAATACATTTCCCTTCTTAAAGCCTCGGGTTTAGAGAACACGTCTAATGACTCTCTGCTGTGACAAGATGAACTGGAAACCATTATTTTTCATGACACAAAGCTATGTAGTGTATCAGTGTTAAGTATACATAGAATCTGGACTATCCTGGACTAATCTTTCACTTGTTGCGTAACAAACCCTACACACCTTAAAGAGGTTAAACCTGAAAAAAACTGCTGGTGTGAGTGCCTTTAGTTGAACACAATATTAGATTGTAAAACTATGTTGTGTTGTAAAATTGATTATTTTAATAATTTAAATGTATAAATGAGCAAAATCTGCAACATTTTCTTAGTGTAACCTACAGTATAAATGTCACTATTAACATTTGAACATTTTCACAAACTAAGCAAAAATTGTTTTTCATCCCACACAAACTGAACAATTTACTCTTTGCTGTTATAAACACCCAAAGACCTTTTTTTTTAATCTTCTCGCAACTCTACTCCCTGTGAGATGTTAGTCACTGCAGAACTGTGGTGGTTTGATGCAGACTCACAAATACTGTGAAGTTTGTTTAAAGCTTATTTGGTGTAACAGGTTCCTGAAGAAACAAAATGACAAAAGACCTCATCAGGAACACAAGCTGTGAGTAGCTCTAGATATTTCTCCCATCGTCTTCCTTCCTCAGACACACAGTGTGTGTGTCTGTGTGTGTGTGCTTCAGTCCGGCAGGCACTCTGATCCATTTAGTATTCTGCTCAATGATGGAGTGTGTGCGTAAGTGCCGTTTCCACAGAGAAGGACGTAAGTGCGTGTCAGTGACTCATCACCGTATCGGCACAACAACTGTGGGGGTGTCGACCTCACTGTGATGTCAGTGTTGCCACGGAGACGGTGAGGCGAGGGAGGGGCTTGGATAAAGATGGAGAAAAGGATATGGGCCAGGTGATGGAGAAACAATGGCTCACAGAAACGGACGAATCCTTGACTTTTTGAATTGATTTTTTTATACCGTTGTGTGTAAAGTGTGGGCGTGTGCGTTTGCAGCTGCAGAGCTAAACATCCAGAGAAGTGACACTTTTCAAAGGTTTTAGAATTCAAGATGATATTAAAGAATTTTTCAGGCTGTGTTACTCACCGTCGGAGCAGAACTGGTCCCTCGTGCACAGTTTTCTCTCAAACAGGCAGCCTGACGTAGAAAAACAACAACAGGGATGACCAATTTTGAATCTTTYTCAGTCAATTAATGCCCAAGAAATGATGGAAACTACATTTATAGAGCAGAAATGGGGACATGCCATAATCCTTAACAGTAACCAAAGCAAAATCTTTTTTAACACTCTCAATTTGTTGTTGTCAACATTTCTATATGCACAGAACAGTTTTTCTTCACCTGCTTCAAACTTTTGGATCTAAAATATGTGTAAGGCTCAAAATTAAGTGAGGGTATGTGCAAACGGTGCTTAGTCCTCTGTGTTTAATTTGGAGCTGGTGAGTAAGACCTTGGAGTATTAGTAGTGTGGGAAGAAGCAGGTGGCAGATAGGAACCACAGCACAGCAGTGCAAGCATGGATAACTCACAAGTTGGGTCTTTTTCTATTTCAGAGGTTAAAAAACGTACATAAAAGAGGCACAAATGTGTAAAAAAAATAAAATAAAAAAGGGAAATATAAATAGTCAAACTATGTGCAATAGAAACAAATATATTCCAAATCTAGATAGAAATATAGCAGGGAAGTAGCTGTTTGGTGTGAAGTGTTTATCTGAAAAAAAAAAGAGGTTGAACTATGAATAATAATAAAAAACAACTTTTAAATAAGCCGACGCAAAGGTGACTCACATGCAGATGCCAAACTACGCAAGCAGTCCAAGTATTTTTTATAATGAGTGAAACGAGTTCAATGTAACCCTATTATTTTACTGCAGAAAAAAACATGCCCATTTGAAATGCATCAAGGTAAATGTCATCCTGCACACAGCAAACACATGTTTAAAGTAAGGTCCATTCTTTGAAGGAATATCACCTGCTACCCTTTTTACCAGGAATCATTATATGATGACAAGCAACACAGTTATGGCTGTTTTGGTCAAAAAATAATAAATAAATAACAACATTGCCAGATCTATTGGCATTCAGAGTATGTGTTAAATATGAGTGGTTGTAACTGTCACGCTTGGATATTTAAATTGAATTGGCAACAAATATTCAGTAGTAAATGCACATTCAATACTTACACACATACAGAGATGTGTGCAAAAACACTGCCTTCATCTTTGGCAGCAGGAAATAATAACTCAAATGGGGAAATGTGAGGATGTTTAATGCAACACTAAAGTGCATGTAAACATTGCTGATGGTCCGTCCACAACACAGCTGATGAATTTCTGTGCAAACTGTCAAATGCTGATTTACGCCATGGACATTAAGGCTAACACATTGGGAAGCAACAACAACTGGAAACATAAAACTAAAAAAAACACATTAACACGAGTTAACACAAGCTTCTTTACATTTAAAACTGATTTAAAAGGCTGCAGGTAGAAGTCCAGCTGGCCAAAGTAGCTCATCGTCTCATCGACTATCTTTGTGTTTATGTACGCAGAGCAGAAAACGTGCAGCAGAGAGCGATCAAACAGCGCCCAAAGGTTTCACTTAACCCCACAACGCTGGTCAACCACATCAGCGTTTGTCATAGCAACAAGACATCTGCTCCTCCGGGAAACAACCAACATCGTACCGCTTCTGTGTGCGAGGACGAACACTTGGACATATGGATGGAAGGCTTATCAGACGCATAGTGGGAAGGATTTAGGTGTGAAAACAAAGAAAAAGAAAAAAAAAGGTGTTAACAGAACAACAGGAAGCGACAGTAGCTGGTTTCTCTCCATGGTGCTGAAATCTGAGGCGGTTGCAAACCTTACTGCTCTTCATTCCTCCTCAGAACCAGGAATGCACACATATTGGTTGCTATTCGTAAATGAATGACAATTCCATCACATAAATATATATTTAAAAATACATATTTATGTATTTTTGTTGTTTCAAATTGCTTTGGATGCTGAAAATTCATTTGCAAACAGACGTTTTGGTGATGTCCAATAAATGTCATTATTAAAAAGTTGAACCTGTTACATATACATGAATATATAC